ATGATATTCTAATTTTATGACCAGCACCTGTAGACCTCCATTATTTGAATGTCAGCAGACAGCAAGAAGCCTCCCAGATCTCCAGATGCATTTGAGATATCAAAAAAGTACTCCAGAGTTTTGTTCAGCATGGGGGTGAGTAGAAAATGAAGGCTAATCATGTTTTGGGTGTACTATTCCTTTAAGGAGAAAACTCAAGGTCTGAACCTCACTAGTCTGAAGCCAAGCGCAGCCGCTGCTAAAGCCCTCAGCTCACCCCACAGTTTCTGGTCCCTTCTGGTTCCCTACCTCCACCGCTCAGTCTGAACCACATCAGGTACAGATCAGTTACAATCTAAGTCAAGACCCTCCTTCTTCCTGGCTAACCAAACTGTCCCTCTCTACAGAGAATCCTGTGATACCGGTCCCGGACCCATTCCAGCATCAGTCCAGAATAACTTTATTGTGTTTTGCTTCAATAAACAGTTTAACTTTTACTCAGTCTCCGAGGTGTTCTGCATTTGGGTTAAGCTCCTTAGACCCAACATGACACAACACTTATCTACACAATTCAAACATAAACAATTGACGTAAAACAAGTGTCAGATAAAATCACTGTTAATGTAAACATAAGTGTCGCTAAAAATTGCAAATGAGGAGCTTCATAAAATGTAGTTCTCCCTCATGTGACACACTACATAAAATGTATTAAATGACAGTAAAACATGGTTAACTGCTGAAAGAGAATCCGCGACAACTCCACAAGGCTAGAAAATGACAGTGATTCAGTTTAAACATGATTAAAATTGAGAGTCTGCTGGGGGATAAATACATCTCAACCTCAACGCGCTGACGATAGACTCTGTAAGGAAAATGCTGCAGCCTAACCTATCATTAAGAGTGACTAGATATCCACTAGGAAATTCACCCCATCTATGTGGGGTGTATGTGTTAGGAATACATATTGTTGACGTAATTTAATTTAAAACTACTGTTTTCTATAAAAATTTAATTAGAACCCAAGAAAAACTGTTAAATTCATCTGTAAAAATTAAAGCATTGTTTTTTCATTTGTTGTGGGAAAAAAAAACATTTAGCAGATGAAAACTGGGATCCTATTTTAATACCACTGAAGCTATCACTGTATTGCTTTTGAATAATTAGTAAAACAGAATTTGTAAAAGAAAAAGAATGAAATAGATCCAAAGGACCAATCAGTAACCATATCTGTTCCAGCCCATATCATCATCAGAATTTTTTTTAAGTATTAAGTCTTCAGTACAGGGGCCATAACAGGGGCCAGCACATGATCTACAGGGGCACTGGTCCCCATTGGCCCCTGTCTAGAACCGGCCAAAAATACTGTTCTGTTTTGTGTTTAAGAAATTACGTTCTGACCAGCTGACTTACTGACTTACAGACTTGAAGAAGGTAAGAAGAGTAGTGAGAACAGCAGAGAAGATCATTGGGGGCTCCTCTTCTCTCCATAAAAGACATTTCATCCCAGTGCTACGTGTCCCGAGCCCGTAACATTATGAACTACCCCTCTCAACCTCACCATGGACTGTTCTCCCTGATGCCTTCTGGAAAGAGGCTTTGCTGCATTCGATGCGGGTTCAACAGATTCCGAAACAGCTTCACTGCCATGAGACAGCTGAAAACAAAACAAACCAAAACACTGCATATTTGCACCATATATATTTAATGCTCTAAACTTCCATATCAATGGATTTTTTGTGCACCATGTTTTTTTTTTTGTCTCCCATATTGTTTACATTTGATCACTGCTGCACTTTAAAGAAAGGAAATTTCATGATAGCTGAATAGAAAAAAAATTGTTTTTGTATAAACTCTGTGTATACAAAATGAAAATAAAAGTTGTCTAAGTCTAAGATTGGGAGCTAGGGTAAAGGAGACTGAAAGGTCAAACAAGAAATACCTTAGAACTCAAATACCATCAGAAATAAATAGAATAACACAAAATTGAAATAAAACCAATGAAAACTCAAAGAGAAAACTTAAAATGGAACCAATATCGTGACATTGTTACTGTTTAACCAAAGTATCTCTAATTTGATTTGACTTATACTTCTGTAAGTAATGAATACAAATGCTGGTCAAATCAGAAGAGGGCTGATTACCATGCAATATGGGCTGTATGATGTCATGTTTTCTCTTTGCAACGATGTAATAAAATGCAGACTGAGTGAAATCCATTGATCTGCGTTTATTTAACTGAGGTGAATACCTGAATACTTGTTTTCCACTGCAGTGTAGTAAAACAATGCATGATATAATAATGCGTGAAATAATAATATAAATAGTAATAGATGAATATTTTTTTTTTTATGAGCAAACCCTAAAGTAGATCCAGGTCATGCCCACTAATTTTCCCCACCTCATCACAAAAAGGGAGGGAGTTATAGGTATAAAGTATAATTACAGGGCAGAGAGACTGAGGCATAAAGCAATGCTTCTGTGCTTTTTCTTCTTAACTATGCAAACTGTTGAAGAAACTGAACTTTGCTTTCCACAGCTGTTAAACTCATCCTGCAAAAGGACTATGCAGCATCCATATGTATCCCTCATTATTCACTTAACAATATCCTTTATCTCAGTACTTACCGTATTTCTTAACCTGCTGGTGATCATTTCTATCTGCCACTTCAAGTAAACAGTTTTTTTTGTGTGTGTGTGCCAATTTTAAAATGAAATTTAAGAAATTGTGTTGCATAAATATTTGTGTGGAAAGCCTTACAACCAGTTACAGTATTGTGTCATTTTCTTATTTCTGCAGGAAGCTCCAGAGCCCCACCAACATCCTCCTGCTCTCTCTGGCCATCTCAGACTGCATAGTTGGATTTCTCATTTCATTTCAAATAGCACAAATAGATGACTGTTGGTATCTTGGGGACATCATATGTGTCTTATATGTTATCTTGGATTATGTTATCACTACTTCCTCCATAGGAACCATGGTTCTTATATCTGTTGATCGTTATGTGGCCATTTGTTACCCCCTTTACTACCCCACAAAAGTTACTGCAGAACGAGCAAGGGTATGTGTTTCTCTGTTTTGGATGTGTTCAATTCTTTATAATTGTGTTCTCTTTAGAGACAACCTGCAACACCCAGGCAGGTATAATTCCTGCTCAGGAGAGTGTCTTGTGTTTTTAGATTATTTTGGGGGAGTTTTTGACCTTTTGTCATCCTTTATTTGTCCTGTCACTGTGATAATTATTCTGTATGTGAGAGTGTTTATAGTGGTTGTTTCTCAAGCTCGAGCCATGAAGTCTCATGTTGCATCTGTCTCAATTCAGGGTTCAGTGAGAGTCACAGCTAAGAAATCTGAAATTAAGGCAGCCATAATCTTGGGGATTGTTGTAGTCGTATTTCTTATATGCACTTTACCATATTTCTGCATCACACTAATAGCTGAAAATGCTGCAGTCAGTGCATCAAATGTGACAGTTATTTTGTTTTATGTTAATTCCACCCTAAACCCTCTGATGTATGCTCTATTTTACCCCTGGTTCAGGAAATCTGTTAAACTAATTTTTACACTGCAGATCCTAAAGCCAGACTCACGTGACAACATTATCGTGTGAATAGATTTCCATTAATTACATAAGGTCCATAAATTCCAAGTTCTGGATGTAAACAACAGAGATTTTGATTTTGAATTCAATCTTTACTTTGTTATATTGGAAAAGATGTAAGATTAGACCTTTATTTGAATGTTAATGAGTTTTTACCCATTTGATTCAACATCTTTATTTAAAATTATTTGTTGAGGCAAAACATTTAAAAAGTAAAATACAACAATAAAAATTTAGTTCACATGTTCCAAATCTACTATCACATTTCATGGATAGCTGATTAAAAAAAGTAATATGTGAAAATTTAAACAATAGGAATTTGAACTGACTTAGAACCTCTTTTTAGTCTTAATGTGTAACTGCATTTCGCATTTGTCCAACTTTCTTTGTGACTTGACTTCACACTGCCCCCCTGGCTACACAAGGCAACTGACTCACTGCCCAAAGCAGATACTGACGAAGTAGCCGAGGTAAGGATGAGCCACTATTGAGTCATATGTCTGAGTGAATTGTATTACGCTAAGCACATGAATACAGTAATGAATACTGGTATTTGTAATGCAGACATGTACTAACACATCTTCCTGAACTTAGAGGAAAACTCAAATTCAAAATCCTTGGTTAAACCAATTAGACAGAATTTATGTAGTTGACAAATATTATACTTTTAAATACTTCCTTGTCCTCTATAAATTATTTAGCTGTAGTCTATGTTAAGTGGGACTGAAATGCATTATGTCATTTTTGTAGCTCCTTATATGTCCATTTCACAGATTTTCAAAGGTCCATCTTTCAACAATCCATTATGGTCTGGTCTTCAAAACCGTTCCTACTCCAGGTTGTGTTACATCCACCATTTTGAACAATATTAGTTGTGTGATAGCAAAGAAAGGATTATCTAGTAGCGTAGAAACAGTTTATTCCAAAAAATGTATTAAGAAAAGGTCAACGACAGAAGAATCGTCCATTCAGTGTTAGATTTTCAAGCAAGATTCTAAAGAGTAAGACTCAGGAAAAGAGAGGGACCACAGCTTGCAGACATTGACTGTCTCCTAGCCAGGTTACGAGTTAGCTTCTCTGATTGGTTGATGCATTGCGGCAAGCTGCAAAATTTTTTGAACACACTATATACATAACTCCATTTTTGGACTTCCCAGATTTGCGATCAGTGTGGTTAACAAATTACACATGGCAAATTACACATGGCAAGATTATTGTTCAGATAATCAGACTTTATAGTCTGATTATTGTTCAGATAATCAGACTTTATAGGAGAATATTGGGAGCTAAATCATATTTTTATCTTGCCATTTTATTTATTTATGCATTTTGAACTCTTAATGTTTTTCATGTGTGTTGGGTTTTATGATTGTTTTTATTTACAGCACATTGGAAAGAAATGCTGTCGTTAAATGTGCAAGATAAATAAAGTGGATTGGAAAAATATCTGAAAGTGTGGAAATACAGTTTTTTACACTTGCACTTCCAATGAAAAAATGTAATGCTTTGTCAGGATTCCTGTCTGTGTGTTTGTGTTTCTGTGTTAGTCTCTCTTCCTCCACCAGGAGGCGCCTGGTTCTGGTCCGCCTCCTCACACACCTGCAGAGGGTTTCCTCATTAACGGAGCGCTCTTAAGCTGCTGACTGCCACTACTTCGATGCCAGAGTGTTTGCCAGTTTTGGGTACTCTAGCCAAGCTGAGTTTTGCTGAGTCAAACTGAGTTCTTGTCAACCTGAGTCTTAGTCTTGTTTTTTGTCTTTGCCTCTCGGC